CCTCCAATATCTCTCCTTATTTTCCCGCGCTATGATATGCACATATACTTTGCCTATATAAGACATCAAATATTCATTCATTCATTCGTTCTTCTTCTTTTGGGGTTATGCGTTTGGGTTTTCTGCACTTATTTCATGTTGCTATGGGTTTAATTACCCAAGTTTGAGATTTCACTCGCAATAAACTACAATTCAACTCGTGTCTTCACATCGTTCTTCTGTTTCCACCAACCACATTGGAATAGGACTCAACTCTTATTCCATAATCAAAGGACAACCTTTCAAACAGAGTTGCAATCCCTTTACTGAATACCTCCCGAGAATCTATTAGAATAAAGCTAACAAAAAAAAATTTCACGACAATTATTAACCATATGAAAAATGCTTTTTTTTCCACCGTGATCTCATTGATGATTATTTTTACACAATTACAATTGAAATACATAAAAACCCCAAATCAGTAATTTCATCGCGATAATTAATGACATGAAAGTGTAGAGGCTATAGGAGAAAATGCAATAATAACGAAGGAGATCGATTCAGACAAATCAAATCATCAGAGTGAAAATCATCTGATTTGATTTGATTCGATAATTAAGCTCATACATGAAGATAAAGTTTCCGTATATTAGCAACGGATGGCACTGCATAACCCAAAACAATTCCTGATAAAATTACTGAAAATAACTTACAACATTCGCTTCTTCGTTGAACCTTCCTTCTATTTATCATCACCTTTGAACAATTTCGTTTCCTCATATGTGATTGGAAACTCCCGATTCCACATCCATTACCGATTTATTTTTTCGTTCTTGAATTTTACTCAATTCACCATCAGTCTACAAAATTGGTTTTATCAGTGAAAATAGCACTCCACTGGAAAATGATTTGATTTCCTTTTTAAAAACAGTTGCAAAAAAAAGTTAGCATAGGAACTATTTTTAAAAAAATTTGTGTGAAATTGTAAGAAAATTCAAGAAAAATTATGAGAAACTTACCCGAATAAAGTAAGCAATAAGCCAGAATAATTTAGAACAACATTATTTGGCATATTTTCTTTTAGGCCAAATAAGCCAAAACGACTACTTGCCCAACCCATCATACAAATGGCAATACTCCATATCAGTAGTGCCATACCCATACCAATCAATTGAAAAATTGGTATTGCTATTGCATTTCCTGAAACTAAGATAATTATGTTTTATATAAATTTTAAAATTTAAATATCAAAAAAATACAATAGTCTATATACATACAAATAAATGGTCACAGTGATTATCTTAAACATATCCAATACATTGTCTTGACAAAAATTTTTGAAATTTCAATAATTCAGATTTCAATATTTAGAACTAAATCCTCTAAAGTCTTTTTTTTCAAAATTTTTTTATTTAGGAATAAATATCTCGTTGCTAATTTACCAAGCGTCCAGAATGCTCCACCAAGCATTGGAAGTGGGTAAAATTGAGGGAAACCTTCATAGGCATTAATTATAACACCAACCAAAAATATTGCCACAGCCATTACCCATTGTGAGAAAAAACCTAAAATTGTTCCCTGCGTAAATATCCTCGAGGAATATGGAACAATGAATAAATATTTATTGATTGAGGAGAAATTAGTAAAGTAAAAAATATTGTGCATTTAATTAAGCAACACATAAAGTTAAATAAATTGAGAATAAATAACAGAGTGCTGACAAATTTTAAAACAAGAAAATCTAACCGTCACCGGGATCAAATCGTTTGATTGGTACGAATAAAGAACCAAAAAAACAAGTTGACCGAACAAATAAAAACAAGTTTCCACAGGCGGCTAATCCTTTTAATGTGTTTCCTAATGACATTATGCTTTTTAAAATTAGATTTAAGTTCTGTTTTGGCATATCTAAAATAAAATAAGTGAACAAAGATATTGGCAAACAAATGTATTTGAAAAAAAGAAAAAAACGACAGTATTACTTCAAGCTTAGCATTTACAATGTTTAAACGTTCTCGAAATGAGATGGTACAATTTAATTCTATTTTATGAAATTTGACTTGAAAGAAATATGGTCTTTAACAGCCACGAAGAAAATTTGTAGAAATCCAAATAATTTTTGCACAATTAGCAGGTAAAATAAACCAAATAATTGAAGAGCTACAATGTCAGTCTCCTTCAACATATGCAAGACATTTTTAATATAAAATAAAATTCATAAGAAAATTCTGGAAATATCTATTAAATAAAATTTCTTTAATTAAAATTTCTATGAAATTTAAGATTATATATATGTTTCGTTTCCTCATTAATATAAATGAAAAAAAATCTTGATCCAAAAATGTTTATTTCTCAACAAAATCTTTAGTACTTATTTTAATTGATTAATTGCTGATTTGATGTCAAAATAAAAGTAAGAAGTTAATTTTATACTTTTTCCTTTAAAAAAAGAAAGCAAAAACAAATTTCATTCGGAATAATTTAGCTAATTTGAAATAATCTTTTCACGATATTTATAGATTAAATCTGCAAAAATTTGATGCAAAGGATTCAGTGATAATAAAGAAATCATTGTACTTTATTGAGAACAATGTTTTAGAGTTTATTATTACTATGTTATCATCATTAATTTCATGAGATAAGAGAAAGTGACTGCTTTTCCACTGACTCCTGAGGAATAATTTACTTAAAATCATTATAAATCTATCAGCATCTTTCTTTAGCTCATATAATTCATATAACAAATTAAAAAAAAGTGGCAAACAAAGTTCAGTATGGAAAAAAATTACAAGCTCGTAAAAATTATTCTGATGGAATATGTGCTGGAAATAAAACTGCAACAAGCAAACAACTATTATCTCGGATATTCCGGTATGATCTCGAGTGTCCCGCTATCTATCTTCTCTCCTTATTGCACATTTATATGCTTATCACAGCTACACAAATTATTTCTT